ATGTATGAAAAATAATATCAGACAAATGTCCGTCTCTACAAGCCGCACAAACCTGAGCCCTCTTGATTACATTTTCCATCACTTTTTGATAGGTTTCGGGAGGAATATTTTCACCCGTTTCCGTAATATTGTTCTTCAGCTGCCTTACAGTATTTGGTTTACACATGTGCTTTAAACAACTACTACTGAAATGTGTGTATAAAAAATGGCGCGCAATTTAAATCAGACAGATATATACAGGGTGTCCGCAAAGTTGGGGTTTTCCTTTACACGACATGCAATTTTTCTTAGTACCATATACACCAATGTCTCAAGGGAACCGAGATAAAGGGCTCTGCAACATCAAAAATATCTGAATACCGTCCTGTAGCCGCGACCCACGACATCACCGAGTGGTACAAGGTCACTGGCTCAACCCGACGACAGAACTGGGTCGGGGTCAGTGTGTCAGGTCAGTATGCAACCTTCAACCGACGGTTACGGTCACGCGTGTAGAGGTAAACGAACCCGTATAATCGATTGCGTTTCAAAAAACAACAAGCACTAGAGACGTGCCTAGAGGAGTGCAAGTATCAAAAACTAAAATGTGGCAAACGCTGCGTGAAGAGGGGCTGTATCTGTTTCACGTCCAACGTGTACAAGCCCTTCAACCTGACGATTTTCCAGCAAGAGTGCGGTTTTGTGAGTGGTTGTTGCATCAACATGACAATAATCCGGACTTTTTGAAGTGCATATTGGTGACAAACGAATCTACGTTCACGCGTAATGGGGTGAATAACTTTCGCAACACTCATGTTTGGTCAGTAGAAAATCCGCACGCTGTCCGTCGGGCACATTTTCAACAAACATTTTCGGTGAATGTTTGGGCTGGCATGGTGAACGGTATGCTCATTGGACCATTTATTCTCCCAAATCGTTTGGACGGGATGCAATACCTAGACTTTTACGCAACATTTTGCCTTCCTTGTTAGAAGATGTGCCATTAAGTGTAAGACAATCAATGTGGTTTCTGCACGATGGTGCACCGCCCCATTTTAGACGCGAAGTGCGTGAGTTTTTGAATGAATTATTTCCGAATAGGTGGATCGGACGTAATGGGCCCGTAGCGTGGCCTCCGCGATCTCCAGACTTAACACCATGTGATTTTTTTCTTTGGGGAGAAATGAAACGCTTAGTGTACAAAACTGAAGTGCATACGGTTGACGAACTTCGTCTCAGAATTGAACAAGCTGGTGCTTTCATTCGGGGGAGGGACTCCATTCTCAAAGCCTGCACCGATGCTTGGCTACGTCGTGCACGCACCTGTGTTTTTGAATCAAACGGCGATAACTTCGAACAATACCTACAAAGTACGTTTACCTAAAAACTGAAAGCCGTCAGATTTGTTACCTCTGTTCGTGGTCTGCACCACCGCCGGCGTCTGCTCGGTAGCGCATCAGCTGATTTCATTTTCTGTTGGAGCGGTATGATTTCGGGCAGAGACGTACTTAGCCCTTCTCGTCAACTGGAGAGTGAGTACTTTTTCCTTTATTTTTTTTACTTGGTCGCCCTCGTTTCACTACACATTACCTTTGTTATTTCAAGGGTAGTTGTTTCTGAAAAGGAAAACCCCAACTTTGCGGACACCCTGTATTGGCCACCCTGAATTAGTCAGTCTACTCCCTCATTTTCAACGATTGTCCTTTAGAAGAACGAGCGACTCAGCTTTTGTTCAATAGCCATAGCGTTTGAGGTTTGTCTAAGCTTTCAATATTTTTAGGTTCTGCCTTTTCGCCAGCATTTCAAGATAGTTTGCGTGGTTATTTCAGACGATAGAATTCTATTCTTGGACACGTTCCGAGGTATATCTCGTGCGAGATGTTATTCATCGAACTGAACTCTTCACCCGCTTTGGTTTTATTGCTATTCCACGATGACACTGAAATACGAAGAATCGCCGGTATTTAAATGCGATACCCGAGAAAGGCAATAAACTTTATATAGGAAGAGGAGAACGTACGGCATGTATCCAAACTGGTTTTAAATTCGAAATTCTCCAAGTGCGATGAGCTTTGATTTGGATATTTGGTTTTCTTGTAACTTTATAGCCCGAGTTCGAGTGATTTTTAAGTGTCAATGTACCATGGTTTTCCATATTCAGTTGTTAATATCTGAGATAAACACGCCATAAACTGAAAGACAGTTTGTATACATATTGTCTGGGTCAAGCTTTGGATTATTGGAGAGACTTAAGATGTGCAATTTTTTTAACTTCCCACCCATCAATTCTGAACATTACCGTCAGACAACAGAGCTCATTTTGGTACCTACTTTCAGACAGAAACAACGTAAGGTTACTGATAGGACGTTTAAACGCTACCTATGTACAATGAGGGTGGTTGAAGATCCGACGTGTGTACGCTGCGGGGTAGAAAAGGAATCCTTAGCGCATATTATGTGACTCTGCAAGCTTCTGAGATACTAACGGGCGATTTTTTAAGAGGTATAGGATTTGATTTTCAAAAAAAACACAAAAAAATTTGAAAAAAACGATTGAATCTTTATTTGAGTCGATAGAACGGTCGATATAATTTAATGTTAAAGATTATTTCATATAAATGTTGGCCGCGGCTCCGCTTTAGATGGCCCATGCGCAAGGTCCAATTTTGGCACACTCTCTCCAACATATCGGCCGGTATATCACGAATAAATGCTTCAATATTGGCTTCCAGTGCGTCAATCGTTGCTGGTTTATCCCTGTAGACATTAGCCTTAACATGGCCCCACAAGAAATAGTCCAACGGCGTCAAATCACACGATCTAGGCGGCCAATTGACGGGCCCCAAACGTGAGATAAACTGTTCACCTAACTCGCCTCTCAATAGGGCCATTGTTTCGTGTGCGGTGTGGCATGTGGCACCGTCTTGTTGAAACCACATGTCAGCCAAGTCCAGCTCTTCCATTTTGGGCAAAAAAAAGTTTGTTATCATCGCACGGTAGCGCTCGCCATTCACAGTTACGTTCCGGCCATTGTCGTCTTTGAAGAAGTACGGCCCGATGATACCACCGGCCCATAATCCACACCAAACAGTGATATTTTCGGGATGCATTGGTAGCTCTTGCAATGTTTCTGGCTGGTCTTCACTCCAGATGCGGCAATTTTGCTTGTTAACGTACCCATTCAACCAGAAATGAGCTTCGTCACTGAACACAATTTTTCGATAAAAATGTGGATCTTCCTCCAACTTTGCCAGCACCCATTCACCAAATGGGAAACCTTGTGGGAGGTCGTGTGGCTTCAATTCTTGCACCAGCTGTATCTTATAAGCTTTTACACCCAAATCCTGTCGCAAAATTTTCTACGTAGTGTAGTAACAGAGGCCCAATTGCTGCGAACGGCGGCGAATCGACATTTCACGGTCATCACTAACACTGGCGGATACAGTCGCAATATTTTTTTCAGACCTCACTTTACGTCTGCGTGTTGGTGGTTTAATGTCCAATAATGTAAACTGGGTTCGAAATTTAGTCACAAGCTTCCGAATAGCTCCCTCAGTAGGCCGACCAAAATGCCCATAAATTGGAAGCAGTGCTCGATGCACTCTCTTAATCGAGCATGAATTTTGATGGTAAAATTCAATAATTTGCAAGCGTTGTTCGTTCGTAAGTCGATTCATGGTTAAATTAAAGACCAAACTGAACAAGTTTGCCAAAAAGATACTAGCAAAAAAATCACCCATTACAAGCAGTACCTGGCTTCCAACAATTTGTATATCTTAGATATTGAGATAAAACCCAGGACTGTTCTCAACTTCAGTAGGAAGGCAGAAAAATTTACTTTTTGTATTATTCAGCCAAAACAATACCTACCCACTGGCAACACTTCTGTCAATGAGCGGCAAGTCCAGCTATCTGACAATTATTACGCGTGCTATTTTTCTTAACTTTGAAATGAAACACGTGGTTGTGATTTCTCAGAAATATCTCACCAAAGGACACATCCAAATGGAATGTGAATCTGTACACAGTTGCATTTAAAGAAAATTGAGAAATAGAGTTATTGAATTACCAAATGACTATGTTAAGGCGTCAAAAGCAGCTAGGACAAAACCAGAGCTATATGAGGTGATCCAATTGAGCTACGACTTCTTCAAGGACAGAGGTGCAGCGATACTCAACAATTACACCAGGCAGGTACAATGTAGTCACGGAGATCAAAGTACTATGTTATAATCCCGATGGAAAAATTGAAGTGAAACTAGACTTCAGTGTAGAGCCTCAGGAGTTGCCTATGAGACCAAAACATCTACCCGTCATTTCAGATTGTGAAGTTCGATACGTTGCTGATATGCCATCGCTGATTCGAGAAACTGAGTCGATCTACTTGACGTAATGTTCTTTCTTTCCAACTTACAACGAACTTCGAGCCTGCCTAGCACACGTCCCGCACACTCGTATATTCACTCAAAGACGTCTGAGCGTGACTGTTAGCTCTTCAATCCTTTCCTTTTGAAATCTACCGATGCGCTGCTGAGATGCCATCATAAACGCGGTTGGTTGGAAAACATTCAAACATACACATGTTCACATGTACAACTATTCTCTATGTTCATTATTCCGTTTAATAGGGTATTTAAAACATACGGCCGTAAGTGAGAATCATAGAGCGTGAAATATAAAGCCAACGATTTTGTATGTAAAAGCATACAGTTTGTTTCCTCAATATACAAGGGTTTCCAAACATGAGACAAAAATTCAAGTGGCGATTCGTTATCGAAATCATCTTCGGGTAACTCTTGCAATATTTTCATTTTGAATGAATGAAATCCGTTAGTAAAAATTGAAGTCAAAGAAGTCTTCGACGACAAAACAAGCTTCAGATAGCATGAAACATTTCAAAGTTTTGCCAAATTGTTCAACATCGGGAGATTTTATTTTACTTGGCAATAGGTTGTAGAATTTTAACTCGTGGTAGTTAATACCATTTTAGTTTTATTTATTTCCTATACTGGATATCTTACCTTCCAACTGGAATGGCGAAGTAAAACAAGGCCAACATTTTTGACCTGACATCCCCAACGAACAGATCACTGATGATCGTTGGAGCTATCGTGGAGTAGCTGGCCTCTCCGATACCAACAAGGGCTCTGAAGAAGACGAACCACCAGAATTGCTGAAAGTAATAGTTGCTTATGCATCTAGGGCGCTTATTACGCCTGAGGTATGTAAGAATTTTTATCTACGACTTGTTACCGTATCCAAATCCAAACACAATTTCACTGAATAACACCTACTGTCAACAAAAGATGTTGCTGGCATTCAAACATTGCAAGACGGTTCTGAATGCTACCCTCACGCAAAGAACGTATTACTGTATTTAAATTCACGATCTCTTGGATATGGAGAGGGCTTAAGTCCATATTTATAGCCGAACACTGAGTAAGTAGAGATATAACATCTACATTTGTCAATAGGCTGTAATACTTATCACAAGTTTTCAATATATTCAATTTTCAAAATTTTTAAAGTCTTGCAAATTTTGGAAAGAAATAACCTTGACAACATTCAAAATTGTGAAAACCTGCGATGACAAATGTTGTAAAACGAAAATGTTAGATATCCACTTGAGGGTCACTTAAAGCCATGGACGTACATGTAACAATATCGCTAACCGAACCACGCGACGAACCGCAGCGCGCGCAGTTTGACGAACAACATTGCAACAAACATCACCACAAACCGAACGAAGTCGTGCAACGACATCGCGCAACAAAATGACGATCCAATTTTGATGTGTGTCGTTCAGTGAGATACGAATACTAGCGGAAATGGATATAGCGGTAGCAGCAGCTGCCTATGTTAATATTCACTACTGATTATCCAAAAACAAGCGGCAATAGATCAGCACACGGTTGCAACAATTTGATAGCGGAATTGAAATTTCAACAAACATTTTAGGAGAATGTCTCCGACGGATTTTGAATATCTTCTCACGTTGATTGGACCAAAAATACGAAAACGAGATACAAAATGGAGAGCTGCCATCACAGTGCAAGAAAGACTTGTAGTCACGGTGCGATTTTTAGCGACCGGTCATTCATATAGTAGTTTGCAACACATGTTTCGAATTTCAAAGTAATCGATCAGCTACATCATTCCAGAAGTTTGTGAGGCATTGGTCGAAGTTTTAAAGGAAAATATGCAAGTAAAAAAATAATTCTTTTACTTCTAAGTACTTGTACATTACAAAATAACACATTGGTGCTCGCCAGTATGCCTGTCCAAACATGTGCAACGCGAGCCATTCCTTTGATGTTGCGCTGAAAAACCGACAGAGCCTGGATCGGGGCGAACGGCCAGCTGTAACGCTAATCAGGTTCGCGACGGCGTTCTTTTCACCGTCTACACTAGCGCGGCGCGGTTCGTCGGTGTTGTTACATATCTGTGCATGGCTTAAGAGTTCATATATAATCCAAGGGTTGTCAACACTGAAATCGCCAGTTATTCAAAATTTCTACGGTACTTACGGTCATAAAGGAGCCACACAAAGTCGTGAGACTCCACAAAAAGACCCCAGCAGCCATGATCCACCGCCTACTGTATCTGTCACCAAGGTAACCGAACAGAGGCGCGAAAATCATGTAACTTAGCACGAAGGCTGTCTGTAGTAACCCGCCATCGCTATTGCCTATGTGGAAGTAACCCTGGATGTCTGTCAGTATACCTGGAACAATAAATTCTGATGTCATTTAAAATATAGAGAAAAAGGCAATAGCAACGAAAAATAAAATAGGAAAAATAGGGCGAAGGGTGATCAAGTTGATTTTGTGGAATTGTTTTCGAGTTAAGGTTAGTGCATACCAAAAGACGGTAGGGGAGAGCATGAAAATCTCCAACGACGCCGCAAGCATCCATCGACAGCCCGGCAGCTTAAGACAGTACCTACAGCCTGAAACCTAGGTAATATCACAGTATGGCGACGCCTCCAGCAGCGGGATCATTAAGCATGCTCTACGATGCCAAAATAGAAAAATCGTCCATGCGGTCTCGAAAAGGCATGCCGTAGGATCCCGCGACGGAGACGTCGGCATGCCGCGGCATCCCCTGGCTGTCAGGCTACAGACACTTTAGTAATAAGAGGCTGCGATGCAACGATATACCGACGCCTTCCTTCGCGAGATCCCACATTATACTCTCCGATGCCGAGAGAAAAATATTCCACGAATCTATAGCGTGGCAACCATGAGATTTCACGGTATGTCACGAGATCCCATGACAACTCGCAGCTGCCAGGATATAAATACGATATTTTTTTCCCTGTCGGCATCGGACATCATGCAATGGCATCTCGTGGCGGGATCCAATATAGGAAAAGCTGCAATTGTATGTATAGCATGTATGGGATGCCACGATATGCCAAGATATGCCGCGGCATTCCGACATCTTTTGCCGTGCTTAGGATCCCAAATGATGCTCTCGGCATCGGACAGCATGGTGTATGATCTCATCGCGGGAGGCGTCGTCCTGGCTGTTAAGCTATAGAAACTTTCGTAATAAGGTGGTGTGCTGGAACAATATGCCGATGCCTCCTTTCAGAAGATCCAACAGTAAACTCTGCGATGTCAATAAAGGAAAAGATGTAATTGTATGTATGCCGCGGTATGACAAGAGATGCCGCGACATTCTGACACCTTTCGCCATGCATAGGATCCCATAGGCATAGAATGTTCTCAGCATCGGAGAGTCTGCCACGAGGTCCCATGACAACCCGCAGTTGCCGAGATATATATACGATACGATCTTTTTATCTGTCGGCATCGGATATCTTGCTGTAGAATCTTTTGTCGGGAGGCGTCGGCCTCACTATCAAGCTATAGAAACTTTCGTAATAAGCTGATGGACTGCGTCAATAGGTCGACGCCCCTCGTCACAAGATATCACAGTATGCCCTCCTATGCCAACAGATGATACAATTGTATGTATAGCCTAGAAGCTACGGTATGCCAAGAGATGCCATGACATTTCGTCACCTTTAGCCCCTAGGATGCTTTCGACATCGGAGAGCATGTCACGAGATCCCATGACAACCCACGACTGCCAGTATATAAATATACTATCTTTTTCTCTGTCGGCATCGAACAGCATGCAGTGGGATCTTGTGGCGGGAGGCGTCGGTCTGGCTGTGAAGCCATAGAGACTTTCGTAATATGATGCTACGATAGGCCTACGTCTCGCGTCGAAAGATCTCACCTATATTCTCCTATGCCAACAACTGTACGAATAGCCTGTTAGCTATGGGATGCTACGGTATGCCAAGAGTTGCCGCGACATGCCGATGCATTTTTCCGTGCTCAGGAACTCATAGGATACTTTCGGCATCGGAGAGCATGCCATCAGATCCCATGACAACCCGAAGCTGCCGAGATATAGATACGATACTATCAGTCTCTCTGTGGGCATCGGATAGTATGCTGTAAACTCTGTTGGCGAGAGGCGTCGGCCTTGTAAGAGCTGCTTTGGCCTTTGGTTTGAGACTGACACACACCCGAACTGATCCAGAAGCAATGCATGAGAATACAACGTGCAGTGGAATGGTGTTGGTGCTAAGCACTACTGAGTTACTCCCAGTTACTCAGAGTAACTCAACAGGGTCACAGGAAGGCAGCTCAGGCTATAGACATTTTCGTAATGAGGTGGTGGGATGCAATAATAGGCCGACGCCTCAAGTCCCAAGATCTCACAATATGTTCAACTAGAGCAAAAGAATCAATGATCTGTATAGCCTGGCATCTACGGGATGCCACGGTATGCTAAGACATGCCGCGACATTCCCTCGTCTTTCGCCGTGATCAGGATCCCACAGGATGGTTTCGGCATCGAAAAGCATGCCATTAGATCTCACAGCTAGAATGATTCAGTATCCCTAGGCATGTCTTGGTACATCGTCACATCCCGGAGCGGCAAGAATGACACTATATTTTTCTAGTCGGCATAGGAAAACATAATGTAGTATCTACCATATCTCAGGGAGGAAAATCTCTTTTGATGCTATCCGGATATACGTGTACGGTAGTTGTTTTAATTTGCAATGTTGCGATTTTTTCCTCTTCCATATACGAGCCCCCTCCCACTTCTGTTGGCCCACTTCAAAATATGCCTTTATAAACTAAACATGACGAAACTATTTACTTCTAAAACAATTTATTTTCTCAAAAACATTTTAGATACACTTTAGTCGTAAAAAATACATATTTGAAATCATTTAGACCTATAACTAATAGAACATCTGAACAAATAAACAATGTGCGAATAAATGCGCGAAGTTAACAAAGCAACAATTGAAAGATTACCATTGGGTAACATCACCTTTATTTTTTATTACGGCTGAAATTCTTTGGGGCATAGTGTTAACCAAGTTTTGGCAAAAATTTGGTGTCAAACAATCCCATATTTCTTGACGCTTTTGTCTCAGTTCGGTGATTGTACGAGCAGGATGTTGTCGTATAACCTTTTTCATCTCGTGCCACAAAGTTTCAATAGGTGACAGATCTGGACTGCTAGAAACCAATTTCAAAAGTGATACATTATTTTCTTCCATCCATTTTATAGCCTTTTTTGAGGTATGGCAAGCTGCACCATCTTGCTGAAACGAAAAATCTTGGCCGGATGTCAAACCTTCTTCCATCGCTGGTAAAAGCGATTCTTCTAAAATTGCCAAATATTTGTTTGTATCCACATTTCCATCAATAAAATGAAGTTTTCCTACTCCTTTTGATGACATACTGCCCCAGACCATAATGGGTGCTGGAAATTGCACTTTTCTCTTCAAACAGTCAACATGGAATGCTTCATTTTTTTTGCGAATAACTCTACTGCGACTGTCACCAATACAAACTTCGAATCGGGCGTCATCGATCCATTGTATTGCACACCATTGTTGAGGTGTCCATTTTCTATGTTCTTTAGCCCATCTATGCCGATTTTTCTTTTGCAGTGGAGTTAATAGTGGCTTTTCTTTGGCCTATAAACAAGTTATGCAACTTTAGGTTTTTTACTTCACTTTTTTTTATAAGAAAACTTACCTTGCAAGTGCTAAATCCCAGTTTGTGGGCCTCTCTATGAGTTGTGGACCTCGAAATTCTCCTTCCAACAGCGTCACTCCACAGAGCACTTAATTGTAAATAATTGGCACGCCTGTTTTTCAAGATTATTCTTCTTAATGCTCTTCGGTCGGCATTTGTGATATTACTTTTTTTCACATATCGTGGATTAATATTAACTGAACCAGTTACGTTATATCTTCTAACAATATTTCTCGCACTGTACCGCGATAAGTCTAACAAAGTTGCAATTTCTGAGTTTGATTTTAAAGAATTAAAAAATTTAATTATCAGTAACCGAATTTTCTCATTAATAACCTTTTCCTCTACCCAAAACTATTTTAAACGCATTCTGACAGCTGTGATTAATAAAAACAATTGTCATGTCTTTTATTTTTCACAGCCACCTATGCGTTATATACTTATTCTGCATTGAAATGAAAATAGGTTGATATGCTGTAATTGCAACATGTGTTATTTTTATGCTGCAAATTTGATTAGGGAGTGATAAAGTTGGTGTTTTCTACTATATATTATCAAAACATTCATTGTTATTATTTTAAACCTATAACACCCTGCTTCATTTTTATTATTTGTGTTTGATAAGAAAAAAACTAAGATTTCAATAGTTGGGCCAACTGAAGTGGGAAGGGGCTCGTACTCGTACCTGAAATTTATATTATATATAACATAAATTATTATTGCCACTAGACGTTGAGAATGTGTTGTGTTGCTCAACCTACATCAAATTGATTTTATTGACAACTTTTATAGGGTATTCTATGTCAGGGGTTATTCATGCCTCCACGAGAAATATACAATTCAAAACCTACGTAAATCACGAATGAAGATCAATGTCGAAGTTCATATTAAATCAGATGCTTAAAATAATAATGATCGCGTGTCTGAGATGATAATCATAGCGTGGGGATTGAATGTACAGGATGAGCTAAGTATCTCTTGTAGCCAGCATTTATTTCTCAATGGCATAGTTTTGACAGTATTAAAAGTCAAGGTGAATATACGAATCATCAAAAGGTTGACTCAGAATTTGGAAATTATAACTGCAACTCATTCGTTCCTATGTGTTCGGAGATTAATTTGTATCGTGATTGTTGTCATGAGTTTTACTTAGAAAACATGTTGAAGTGTATTAAGCTTGTAGTTTGGGATTCGATGTACCACAAAATGTTCATCATAACCTAATGGACGGAAATTTGGCAAACTATACATGGTGATTCAAAAAATAATGTCAATATTTATAAAGCAGACAACATCTACAAAAAAAGAACCTATAGTCAACGCCAAACAAAGTGGCGTGCACGTCATCACGATAAAAATTCCCCGACCTAATGCCTAGGTTTCTATCACAAACAATTGCTCTATTGCAGTTTCATATTAATGTGATATACAAATTGTAAAATGGTCATTACTCTCTTATTATGGTTAATAGTCATATAAACATTGTTATTAAAATATCACATAAGTTGCTTTCTGATAAATTTAGACGCATTATGCGAAATAAAATGTTTTGCAAACGCTCCAATCACTTATCGACATGTAAACGCACTAAACCGATTTCGCAGCGTTGACACATTGTCACCTTGAAACTTATTTAAACTGGGAACTGACATTTGTATTAATTTTGACACTGAATCAATTTGTGGCATTTCAAATCTTTATAAATCCT